AAATCTGTTTAACTTCCGGATTTATCGAATAAATAGGACCAGTTTAGTGCTCGACGAATTCATCCACAGACACTGAGTGCATTTCATGGTGGCAGTTCAGAGACCCCCTCCTCTTATTGTAATAAGAGTTGAAAATGGGTAGGAGATGAGACTCATTGGCAGAGCTACTGCTTCGTGAGAAAATCGTTGGAGGATGGTCGCCTGTGGTCGTCTGATTTGTTCATCCCAGCCTTGGACGAAGAGCTATCCATGCCAGGTCGCTATTGTGTTTTTTAGGTTTTTGTTGAGAGATCATCGAGGGAAACTGTTATTGGCTGCAAGTTATTTGAAAACCGTTTGACTGTTTTACATAAGTCTTCCCTATTTGTTTTGTCGTTTCACGGACCGGTTATGGCTTCCGTGATATATAAGACCTCTGTCCAACTATCCAATCTTAAGCCAATAGCCTTTCTGTGAACATACAGAACGGTTTTCGCCATTATGATATTTTTCTTAGCATTTACGTTGCAAAGTTGCATTCTGTCTAAAACTACACCTCGACATTTTGCCTATCGCTATAGGTAATTATGGAATATTAATGTTCTTCGTAGTAGAGAAGGACACCTCCGTGATGCTAAAGCAACTGCAGACGGAAGACGCCACAGGCAAACATATCAAATGCCATCTGCCTAAACATTGCTAAGGGACCACCAATATTGAAAAACCCTTTTAGAATGTATTAGAAAAGGGGATGAACTTAGTGGTATAAAATCTTCGGGTTTTGCTTTTGGTGTGAAGGTTTGAGGTTAAAATGATAAAGTGATAAGACACCCATTCTCTTCGATGTCGGTACTGCTTCTATGTCGACTTCCAATATAAGGATGGTGTTGACATTATTAGACTTCTCTCAGTTGGCTATACTGGTCTCACCATCGCTAAACTGGGCTCGTAAAAGAGCAGTGTGATTATTTTTGATTAGCGGTGGGGTGAACTGGCTGGACTTGCGAGTCCTTTAACCATTAACCCTGAGCCTTGGACAAGGACCATATTAACTACACCCTGTGTCAGTTAATGATGATTTATATATTTTATTTATATTTTTCTAAATTTAGCTTTCTGTGTCCTCCCTCAGGAGCTCTTCTTCTGCATATATGCGTCTAACTAGGTTTGTCTACGTTCCGATGTCCAATATTGTTGGCCAGCTAGATTGCACAGGCATTGTCTATTTGATGAACAACCTACAGGGTTTCCGGTTGCCTTATCATCATCAAAAACCGACAGCTCTCCTTTTTAATGTCGTGATTTAGGAGCCAGCGTCACAGCTTTAATGATTTCCGCTTGTTTTGAAAGTGCGAGCGAAAGTTTCTCTTGCCTTAGGTCTAAGAGTATATTCGATGCGCCCACCGACAAGTATGCTTCAGAATACTCCTCACCCAGCTTCTAGCCACTCTCATTTTTTGAAATAATTTATAGTAAACTCAGCCACATGTTTCGGGTTCGAGTTTCCGTAAAATATTACGTTTATCTGATTTAATTATATGAATTTTATAAAATGTGTAAAAATAGAGAGTATGATGAGTTTCTAAAATTCAGGGTGATTTTTTTCTGAGTGTACAATCATCAATAACCTAATGCCCCTCTTGTAGTTGCTGTGAAATCCTAGCAGGGACGGCGTTAGACTATTTCATATCCTGTTGTATGATGACAATATCATTCTCAGACACGGATGTGTTACACCTCAACATTCTTTTGCGATAGTAAGTCAGATTAGTTTCGAGCTTTCTTCCAGGTGATGATGCGTTGTACTTGAAGTTTGTGTCTGTCCGTCTGTATTTTTGAAAAAACATTGATCAACTGAAAATAATTAAATCCATCGGTTAAGAAACGCGTCTAAAAATACTATATTTTTTTACAAACAAGTGAAAGCAACTGTCAAATAAATGTTGTTTTTCTTCTATATATTATCATAAGTATTTTATTCCAACAATTATAACACGTATATTATTTTATTCCTTATAACATTTCAAACAATCGCTTTCCTGGCTACTAATGATTTAATAAAAAAAAAAATTGTTATACATGTAATAAATTTGATGAAAAAATTAATTTAATTGTAGAATGCACTTCGAACGAATTTATCTTTACATAAATGTTTTGTACGTTACGAAGATGACTTTGGGTCTTTTTGGATGGTTGATGATAATGAGTTCATAAAAAGACGTCATTTATCCCGTGGTCGTCCTCGCAAATATGAACCTTCTTCATCACCCATTTCAAATAACTCGGAATGCGCTATTCCCACTAACAAAGAATCTTGTGATAACTGCTATCAGTCTTGTAATAACCTAGTCAGTGATCCCGAACACAAAATAGAAATCACTGACACAGTCGAAATAAGTACGAAAAATAATTCAAGCTTCTTTTAATGGAAGCCGATGCAAAAAGGATACAAAAATCACAGATGAGAGCTTGTATGTTAGCGACTGCTTAGGCAGAAGTTCCAAAGCTATTGCAAATTCGGAGGCACTAGTTTCGGCAACTAACGACTTTATCAGTATCGAAGATGGCGTAGCCACAATGTTTGAAAACAATCTGAATAGTTTTTACCGTTAGCCGTGATATAAATATATACACACATCTAAATGCATTGCTGTCCATTGATATTTATGGTTTCAAGGCTCAAAAATTGTATAATTTTAGGCTCGTACATTTTTGCAATAAATGAAGAGATACCGATAAGTAAAATGTAAGCAATAATTAATAAAATTTTTATATCCTCATTGCTTTTTTCGAATATAGATATCAATGAAAGACGTAAACCGGAATGAGCTTTAGTTTTATTTATTAGCATGTTCATGAAGTTTTGATTTCAATGCTTACTGGGAAGTAAATAAATCATTATATCTGCCATATAAGTCAAAAATAATTTATATATCAATTTTGATGGTTTATTGATATTTATATATCATAATCCAAGTTTGAATTTTAATTTCAGTAATTGAACTCGACTTTAACGCTTTAATTTCGCTATTTCTCTAATCCAAAGCAGTCGACGGTAGAGCCCATCATGAAAAACAACTTTTGCATTTTATGCAGTTTGTTTGAATAATTTGTTTTGTGCCATTAATTTAAAAAGAAAAACTCATTTTTACACTAAATCGTTTCCTACAATCTAAGTAAGTAATGTAAGTGACAATTTTTGGCGAGCATATGGGAGTTGGTATTTTAATTTTTATAAGAAAAGCTTAACGCATGATTTTCTCGAAATGCGTTTCAAAAAGGTGTTTTGAAGCTTAAAATAATATAGATAAAAAGTCAAAGTAAAATTGAGTATAACTAGTTGATCGGGTCATAAAGGTGACTTACAGACTGGCATAATTGTATTTGTCTTAGGACTACTTGAAACCCATCCTCTCAAGGATACTGGAGCATTTTGAAACGTGTTTAAAAAATGCATTTTGATTCTAATCCTGGGAGTTGTCAAAAATGTCCATCACACCTATATGGGCATCACAGAAATCAACTGATTGGTGAGTTACTACCTATTGGGTTCAAATCATTTTCTACGCAATAATAATAATGGTAATGAGCCCACTCCTATTTTAAAGAACAGTAGCGTAGTTTTAAAAACACCTGCTAATAGAACTGAAAATAAAATATATATATATATATATATATATATATATGTAAACCCACTTCCCACGCTAACATTTTAGATTAATTTGGTATTAATTGTTTAATGTTGTCGTTCAATATATTTGGCAAGATTTCTTCCAGTGGTCTATTTGATATTCAAATTCAAAATGAAATAACCACTTAACTGATTCGCTTTTCAAAATGTACAATTTTTATTTAATTCTAATTAAATTTCTTTAGCTCTAAATCTTTTAATTTGCATTTTTAATTTATTTATTCATATCTTTTTTATAAATTTATATATTTTAACTTTTTGTAACACATTTTTACTGTGAAAAGTCTACATTAAATAATTAAATAAATTGCAAGCTCTTTCTTTTTCCTGTTTCTGCGCACGTTGCTGGAACCCATACTTACTTAGTCAAAATTGTATCACTATGCGCCGCCAATATCGTTGATTGTGTCGTATTTATTTATCTATTGATTTCAAATAAAATATTTAATATTACTACAGCAATATATTATTACTTAATGTTTAAATAGTCGGAGTCTTGAGTTACTTTGCTTACTAAAGCTTTGACAATGAAATGTGCAAGGAGTCTAACAATATTTTAATCGTCCAAGAGTTTTTCAGTTTTTCACTGCAATACATCAATAAGATCAAACGTTGCTAGTTGTAAGATTAAGTGCTAGATAATACTTATGTGACAAAAGAATTAAAAACACATATAAAAAGCAGCTTATTTCGCAGCCTTTTTTAAATCGATTTAAATAGTCCTATCATCAAGAGCCTTTACTTTTCGATTTGTTTCTTAATAAGCTTTATTCTTATATCGGACTTTTATTATACGTTGACAATATTAAACTAAATGTATCAATTCCGTGTCCACTACAGCTTCAACGTAATTTGGATTCATCTTATTATTGGCGATTGGTTGACACTCAATTTCTTATATTTGCACAAGACCCAAATTGAGATTTCCTTAGGCAAATTCCAGCAAATCAGAGAAGTTCCGATTTAATTACCTTCACTTTAAAATCTTATGCTAAATCAATCAATCAAAAGCTGTTAACGGTTCAGGTTGACTATAATTTTTTCTATATTCTGATCAACTAATCGGCTCAGACCCGAGCAACTGAATATTATAAAACTTTTCATAGAGCTTGAAAATTGGGCTCAAATTAGTTTAAATTCAGTATTTGCTCTGGTTAAAAAAGAAAAGTTATAATATAAATGTAATTTAATTTTCCTAAAATGTAAATATAGCCCGATCTTAATGAAATTTATTCAGTTGATTAATACTATGACAAAGTCGGTTTCTACTAGATTGTAATCCTGATATGGAACTAAAAAATCTTAAATTTTAATTTTCAACCATTTACAGTTTCTTAGATCGGCGCTTTCACAAATGTGGACTAGAACGGATAGATGGACTTGGCTTTTGATGCATATCAAGAATATATTTCCCTGAGGGGATCTGAAATACTTTGTTCTCCCAATTATATACACTTTCACAACTACATTACTACCCCTTGATGGGCTATGACGGGCTGAATAAATAGTTTTAGCTCCATTTTATGTATTCAAAACTAATTTTGCTGTAAATATGATTTATAGCACTAAGCAGACAATACTATATTGTTTGCATAGTGCTTATAGTGATACCAGTTCCACGAAGTGACAGTTGTCGGATGTTAATATTACAATGTCGTATTTCTCTTTTACAGAATATTACTCCAAATACTTTATAGAACTCACCACTAGTTGCAAATATGTTCAGAGAAATATCCTTTTCGCATGAAGTACATTAATGAAACATTAGAGCACATTTAAGTTTTCAGTTTATTGTATAATACATTGACCTATAAATATATACATTTATTACTAATAATTTGTTTTTTTCTTCGAGGTTGTTGGAGACGTATGTATATTTATTTAAGAACTTATTTACTATTGCTAGTATATAAAGCAAAAATTTCATTTTATGAAATTGATCTCAAATATAGCTGTATGTATTTCAAAATTTCTTTTGTCAGCTGATTTACACATAACTGAATTGAGTACACTTCAACAGAACCAAAAGAATATAAAGATGATGATGATGATTTTACCATGCTCTACCTTGCAGTGGTAGATAACCTCCACACTGCTGCTGATGCCCATTCGAAATAAAATTATTTTGGTTTCGATAAGCCATCGCTAAACTATTTGACATGAGAGCATTATTGCAGGGTTGTTGTAACATAGACGCATTAGATCCCCCAACTGTCCCACCATAGCTTGCTATCAGAGACGACGATGTATCAGGTGAGTGTGAGCTGGGTGCATCTCCTGGGATGAGATTTAGGACGTTCGGTACATTGGCAGTAACTGATGACGTTCCAGTAACGCCATTGGCATTACCATTGCTATTATTGCTGTTGTTGCCAGAAGTTGAGGAGCTGTTTGTATGCGACTGTGGTTGAGCTGCGTTGCTTGCTCCAGAGCAAGGTTTTCCGTCCTTTACTAAAACTGGAACAGCGACGCGTCTTGGGGAACTTGCAGACTGAAAATTTAAATGAAAAAATTCAATATAAATATAAATTGTAGAATTATTTGTTAATGGGAAAAGGTGGATATGGGAAGAGACATGAGATTTGGATTGTTATGCTAAATGGCCGGTAATTTATTTAGTGTCCAAAGTTGCATCGGTCTAAAGATCCGTGGTCATTTGAAGAAGGTTCGCGAACTCAAACGAAGATTAAAATATGTACTTGACAAAAGTTTAAAATTAAATTATAGCAAATATTTGTGGTCTACCAGAAGATGCTTTTGTCGAAAGATAATCTGTTCTCTTAAATGTATAAAATTGTAGTGATTTTCCATAAAAAGAGTTATGGACACCAAATGTGATACATAGTTACAGCAACCACAAATCTTATTTTTTATATAACACAGCTATCCATCGTCTAAATTGTGATGCGTGTATTTTAGAGGAACTAGAAATTCTCAACATATAAACTAATCTTACGAAAATTTATTTCTGCAATGGAGTCTTCCTAAAACGTTGTAGGTAGTCTTCAGCTATGTATATCGAAGAATGATTTTAAAGCTGCTCGAATAAAACCAAAAATTTATAACATTACATTTGCATCTTCATTTAAAAAAATGTTGGAAAAATGTCGATCAAATTTTCTTGTTATGAGCTTTGAAAATCGGAAGAAAAAAATTTCCAGAATTTGCATACTGGATTTTGCAAAATTTGTATTGCGACGGCGAAATACTCTGATACCATAAATAATACCATTTGATCACAGTTGCCGTAGGACAGGGTGTAAGCAAGAAATACAGATATTCAAGGTTAGTTATCGACCCTCCAAATTTGCCCATAAATATAGGCCTTATCGTTTTTTGGGGCGGTAATGGGCGTGGTCCGAAATTTTTTTCCAAAGTTTTGAAACATGTTATTAGCAAATTTGGTGACTCTAGCTTTGAAATAGTTCGAGACACATGGTTTTATCGACTTACACTTTCAGAAAGGTTTTGGGATGCGGAGTGGGCGTGGTCCCCCAACAATTATTATCGATCTTTCGAAGGAGCTACCAGTAACCAGTAACCTCAAGCTTACAAATTGTGGAAGATATGCTTATTTCAAACTTAGGGCGGCAATGGTAAGAAAATGTATATGCAAAAAAGAAGATTACTAGCTAGCCACATTCGGGGTTTGGTGAATATATCTTTAAAATGGTAGCAGATATGCGGTTTTACCAATTTATACTATTGAAATATAGCTTTTGGCGATTATGGCAGAATGCGTGGACATACATTTTTTATCGATACTTAAAGGCAGTTTCCCGAATTATACATTCCAAATTTGCTGGCTCTACGTCAAAAACTGCCGAAGATATATGGATACCTTCGGTATCAAAAATGGCTTTCAAGAATAAAGTTTCGGATCTTAAAGCGTGTTGTGTACTGCTTTCGTGGATGGTCTTATTGCCTTGATAAGTTGTCTAAAAGTGAGTAATTCGGCTTCAGTTAACTCAAGATATTTATGATGTGATGAGAAGGATGGTTCCAACGATCGTGAAAGAAGCTCATCTTCTCAACTTCTTGATAAAATATACGTGAACTGATTTAGTCGAAAATAAATCGATGATCCAAGTTTTGGTCCAGGATATGACGACTTTATGAATATCTGAGCTGTGAGATGCGATCACAGCTGATAATTTTGTAAGCTATTTTGCTTTCTAATACCAATAACGCTTAAGCTTTACAATGCCAAACAGGATCGAACGCTTGTTGAAAATCAAAGAATCTAATCAAAAGTTTCGACAATACCGCGAACTTATCCACAATTTTAAAACGTATCTCGTAAAAAATTTTAAAATAATAATGATAATTATTGTGTAAGTGCAAAACACATATTTATTTATACAATTTATAAAAGCGAATATTTAGTGTAATTACCTGATTATGTTGATTTTGCTCAGCCATTGCCTTTTCCTTTGCTTGTCGCTTGCACTTATACCTATGATTTTGAAACCATATCTTAACCTGGAAATAAGATTGAAAGTCCATCTTGATATTTGTATTACATTATTTAGCTGTAACCAATTTTTGTTATTTCAGACTAATAACTAAATGCTTTACACCATATTACTACAACTTAGGCTATGTATATATAACCATATTCATATATTGGAACAAAGTAGAATGCTCAGATATCAAGTAATGGTCAAAATTCTCAAAAGCCTATGTCTACTTCAATTTTAAAAGCAAGCTTGGACTTTTAATTACTAAAAATCTTCTTCAAAGATCGGTATTTCTTGGCTACACCAACACTGTCCAATGGCACCTATTTTGCAGATGGTGACAGAGTATTTCGCAGTCTGTTACGCCCAACTGCAACGTTTTCATTTGTTGGAATAAATAATATAGCGTATATTTGAAGCAGTCGGTAGTCCTCTTCCATCCATTGCGGGGATGCTCTTGAGGAAGTATGTTTTAAAAAGGGGATCTAATTCATATTCAGATAAGCTGTTAGATAGTGCGTTATATTTGACTGTAATTATCTTTTGTTTTTATTAAAAAATATTTTTTTATAAAAAAGGTACAAGAATGTATTGGTTTTATGATTAACCCAGATCCAAAGAATCCAACCAAGTTTTCTTCCAATATACAGCTGATAAAATTTTCTACAAAAAAACGCAAAAATTAAAAAAAATCTAGTAAACAAATTTGATATTGTTAAACAAGAAATGGAAATTAACACATACTTAAGAAGTTAATACGAATAGACCTGCTGTGCATATCCAGGAACTTTATTGGCTAATATCAAAGAAACATTTTATATCAACTTACAGGAATATCGATGTTTAATCAGAATTTATGTTTTGCAACTTTGTCGCAGGTATTCTGAATTTCAAGTTTTCGGACGGACAGATTGCCGGAAGGACATTCCACAAACCCAGTATACTCTTCTAATCAATATACCAACCAATATACTCTTTCAACATTATTGGAAAACATCATTCCTTAATTTTGGCACATATTGCAATTATGAAGACAGTGCAAGAGAAATAGTGGCCAACTAAGTTCAGTTTTTACACACAATCTGGCAAGGAAAATTGTGAATATAAACACGTCCTCTCTGAAAAAAAATATTCCAGATGACGTCGACTCGATTCGAGATCATTTTGGATTTTTTTTTTTCTTTTGGCTGTGGCTATTTATTCAGGAATTCTGTTGATCCAGTCGAACCGGATCATACAAATATGTATACAAATATGTCGGTTGGCATTTTTTTAGTGAAGACGCAATTGCTTTCGCAGTTGTCATTCTGGAGACATTAGTAAACAATTTGGAATATCTTAAATAGACAGAATTCCTATTTTATATACTGAGTACAAAAAGTGTCCCGAATCAAAAGAAATACTGACAAGCCATCCATTTATGGATTTCACTCATCTTTAGCACTAAAGTCATCAAATTTGGAATGTCGATTACTGTTTATTTCGAAGATTGCTACAAATATTCCGACCAGCGCCTTATATCGTATATCGTATCTGTATCTGTATCTGGCAAGAGCTCAAGGTACTTAAACAATTATAGGTATTTTACTTTGACGATAACCATATATATTAAAAAAATATAATAATATAAGAAATCTTAATAAGAATAATAATTTGTATTATTCAAAGCAGAGTGGATGTGATTACCATATCATATAGCTTTCCACAGGTCGAAAGATGGGGTCTTGGACACTCAGGAATAAAAGGCCGATACTGAAAATCACCCTGATAATTTGAAATATTTTTTAAATGTTCGAAAAAAAATTTCCTAATACTTGAAAACCTTTTTTTTATATTTTTCGGATATATATTTCTTAATAAAATAAATTATTTTTAAAAAGTTAAAAGTAAATTTTTTTTTCTTAAATTAAATAAATAATAATTCAATTTGTTGATTGGATTTCTATATGAAAATGATTTTTTTTTTCTAAATCTTACGATTTGCTAAATTCAATTAGTTTTTTTTTTAATGTGTGAAAACTTTTTGTTTCTCCAGATATCTGGACGAAACTCACTAGTCCTGTGTGTAATTATGTTTCTAAAATTTGGGCGAAAATTCATCAACATGGACATTATTAAATGTGTCGATTTCTAAAATTTATCATGAAATTAAAATGTCAGCAGATTGTGAGTGTATATAATCTTCTTTTTGTTTTCCATTGGCTTTCCCACACCTGATTTTTGAGCATATCTCAGAGGACTTGCAACCTTAAAGGTCATATTGCAATTCACATTCTCAATTGAAAAAGTCGTCAAGAACAAGAATGATAAATAGTAACTAAAATACACATATACTCGTAAGTATATAACGCTATTTACTAAAATTTTAAAAATAACTTTATTTATTGTCTTATTTAATGCCGGCTAATAACAGTCGACAGAAAAAAATATAAATTTTAATATGAGTTAATTAAAAATTGAAATTATTTTTTATCGTAATGCGAATCCGCAATGTATTGATGTTTTTGATTTGAGAACATAAACGCCAATTGATTGATTCCTTTTAGATAGAGGGCATTCATTCTAACGAACTGATGATCAATTGTGTTAAATTCTTTTAAAATGAGCTATAATTACTGCACACAAGGAACAAAGTTATTTTTTGTGGTTTTCTATAGTCAATGCGCTCTTGAGCAGTATGCTTAAATGCACAAGCATATGTAGTAGGTAGAAAGTACTTATAAAGGGAATGTGTATTCCGCTTCATAAGTTATTTTAGATTATTTTACTACACCAAACACTTTTGCGTTGAATACAATGCCAAGACCCTTTTTATAGCAGAGAGCATGCTCAAACAATGAGTATATTTCAATACAAATTTTAGGGTGAGTTTAAATATATTATTTTTTCCCCATTGTTCATTAATGCGTTTTTATCTTTCAAAAACATGCCACTGTTGTCCACATACTCAATTCAATGTGCTCTAGAGCTGCTTTATTCTAAGGTAATCACCACTCCTGTTTAGGTGGGTAGGCATTGTGTGAAATTTCCAGATAATAAAACTCGAGGGTGACAATGCACAATTCAAATATTTTTATTGTTATAACACGTCGCACCCCGTAGCTGTTGTCAGTAAAGTAATTGCTTAACCTAATGACAATTATACTATATTTAAAGTATAAGGAATTGCTATCGCCACGACCTGCATTAACCAGTGTAAACATTGCATCTGATATTCGATTCATTTACATTATTAGTATTATATGTAGGCTATACGATATAATAAAAGTATAATTCATTTACCAGCATTATAAAATATATAATATTTTATAATATACTTTGCATTATTAAGCCCTAGACCTATTTGTGGCGTGATTTCGAAGTTTTGGCAAGGGAGAGGCAAATAGAGACATCTTCTTTATGTAATTAATGTATCTTAATCAATTTATTATATATTTTATTATTTTATATGATATTATAATATATAATTAAATAAATAGTTTTAGATGTCATCAGGTAGACTTCGGTAAGAGAGGGTAGGTTATCCACGGATACGGTTAATGATTTGGAAACTATGGGTGATATGCCTGGCAGGGTGGGCGAATGGATTTAATTTTGTCGCAGTCTTTGAAGTTTGTAATAGTAATCTACGTTTTAAATTATCTGACTGTAATTTTATATCTGTGGATAATTACAACTCGACGCTGAAACTATCATATATCATATCAATATATAAATTATTATTATTATTTATGTACTCTAGTTAAAATTTGTTATTGTTATATTTACTAATATAGTTATATTAACTATTTAGATAAGAAATAAAGTGCATTGATTAAAAATATTGCATGTTAAAAATACATTTAAAAATCTAAAAATATTATAATAAATTAACCAATTAAGCTGTAAACTTCACAGCTTACTGAGTGGACGCTGTGAATCCCCTGGAGACGAATCCCAACGGAATTAAAAATAGAAAAACACTTGATCTGGAGCCAGCAAAAAACATAATAAAATTATAATGTGGATGGAAATTATAATTTGGAGACCCCTTCCAAATAATATGCAAACATGCAAAATTACTTGCAGTAGATGGATGAGTTTACTGAATCTTCGACCTTGTGCACGAATCTGACTTAATGCCTTGATAAATTGATGATAAATTACAACCAATATTCCGAATTTTAATTGTGTAGGTTTTGTTGTATCTGATATCTTTCGACTAGAAGGCCGCGCGTACATATTAAAATTAAGTATAAACATATTTATATGTATGCAATTCACAGTCTGGGATGCCTGTTTAAGCGATGATAACAAAAATTTAAATCATTTGGAAGAACTAAATTACTGATGATTTCGATTGACAGTTTGACTTGCTTGCTAACTTAGGATTTTCCTTAGTCAGAGGTTTTGACCTATCAGCAAATATTAAAATCTCCCAGAAGCTGGAGTCCTTGCAAATGTGTTTTTTTGCGAATCGACAATGAAAAAATAAAATACCCCTGAGATTCTCAATAATAAGCATGATAAGTACCTTGGCATAAGCAATAGTTTGCTCTATTTAAACAGTGATTTCAACAATCCAAACTTAGCTTATTTTGAGTTATTCCAACTTTAAGGAACTGCCAGCATAGTCACCTGACCTCAATATAATAGGGAATGTTGAAAGGCACCAACATCTGGAAGCGTAGTATTTAAAAAAAAATGATCTCAAGAGTGCCGTTAGGGCGAAATAAACAAAATTCATTTTGAAAACCCCAAACAAAGATTGGTGGCCTTCATTCATAATTAGTTACAATTGGAGACAGCCAAACCTAATCCTAAGAATATTAGAAATGTACTTGAACATTGCTTCAATTGCAATTTTCTGTGGAGCTGCTTCTATAAATTGATGAATAAAGTTTGTTTTCTTTCTCAGTGAATTATGAATTAATCTGTGAATAAAAAACAGTTAAGTTAATTCTAAATTTTAGGTATTAATTAATTAAAAATTGCATTATGTTTGTAATATATGGTGGAGCGACTGTACATTTACGCAACTTTAAAATACCCTTTTCAACGAGGTATAAAAATAATGAAAGTAAATCTATTTGGTTGCTTACTTGTGTTGGCGTCAAATGGATGAGACTTGCTAAATGTTCTCGCTCGGGGGCCGACAAATATCGTTGCTGCTTAAATCTTCTCTCGAGCTCATAAACCTTAAAAAGAAATAAAATACGTATTTATAATCATTATCAAGTACACATTCTCTAATTCAGCCACTACTTCTTAATCTAATTGCATTAATTTCTACAAATGTCAAATGCATTCAAAGTATACAATTTTGTGAAAATTCATTGGGTGGAAAATAGGTGGTCAAAATGGTATGGTCAAAGTTCAATTTTCTTTCGATTGGCCTCAAACTCATTTTTAAGTAGTTTAAGTACGTGATTTACAAAACCCACCCCAATGACGGGAAATGAGGGTAAATCAATTTTGTGGTGAAATATGTGATGTGACATCCTCGGTAGAGATGAACGCGTGAGTGATTTTTCAATCACGACACGAAATAAGATTCGTTTGCGAATCTGACCTGTTTGGTCTGTTCACACGCACAGTCACGTTCGAAATTTATTATGTAAACTTTCTCGTGAAGTTAATAGTAGTGATTTTTTGTATAAATAAACTGTTACTCAAACAAATCTAACTTGTGTCATCGTTAAATAAAATTTTATTTAAATTTTCGTCCAAATAGCGAGTGTATCTTATTATCTAATTTTTACCGAGTAATCTGCATTTAAGCTCAATAATATTTTATTTATTTATATTCATCAGTGGTGCCAATAAATACATAAAAAACAATCTGCGTCATTATTCTGATCAGATTTATATTCCGATATAAAGTCTTGTCATATCTAAAACAGCAAAGAATGCTCAAGTTGAGAGAGTGTGATTAGGAGATAATCTGAACCCAAATATTTATCTATCGCAAGTTGTACTCTTCTTAGATATTTAAAAGCAACACTTTATAAAAATGTGTGTAACGTTCTGTTGATAACGTGTATCGATTTCTATCGATATTTTGGAAACGGAGGGAGTTATCGATCACATTAAATAAACTTGATTTGCGAAGAGGAGAACCATTATCTTAAAATTTAAGAAGTCTCTAACGATTTTCGAGACAGACATGGGCAAATCAACTCGGATTTTTAACTGTTCAAGAAAGTATATATTGTGTGGTGTCGAAGGAGCTTCCTGTTTGCCTGTTACTTAAGTTCAGTTCATTAAAGCGGACATCTCCATAGTTTTTAAACCGCAAAAGATACAGATTATTATCTTTCAAAAAGTATTTTTAAGAGGTGTTAAGTTCACCTTTTTGAGGGGCAACACAAAAATTTATATTTGAAATTTAAGAGCTACAACATTTTTTCTGCAACATATTTTATATTTTTATTTTTATTTTTATATTTTAAATATTTCATATTATTAACTTTTAAAATAAGGCATTTTTATACTTCAATATGCTTTTGCTGTTAGAGGCTTTTATTATTTTTTACAGCTTGCAGTCAGCAGCAAAGAATATATATATTGAATTTATTGAATGTGTATATTTATTTTTTTTAATTATATGCCTTAATTTAATACGAAAAGCTTGTGAATTTTCAATTATTTTTTTTGACAAATGCAATACCTTTTCTTGAGAAGTATAATACAAGAATACACATATGAATCAAAAAGTTTATCAATGGAATTTGGACGATATTAACACTACTTGTTAGTATTCTCCAAATATGTTCTGTGGCATTTTGATCAAGTGATAACAGAATGTTTTCTTTTAAAATAAGTAGACCACTCTCTAAAATATTGAGTGTCCATACTTGAGCAGATGAACTGCAAATCGAGATTTGCAAACGCATTAAATGCTCCGTATACCGTTCTTAAAGATTTCTTATTCTCATTATTAATTTTGAAATCAATTGAAATTATTTGATGAAACTGAAGACATTTTTTACTTTGTTCTTTGTAATAAATATATATTTTACCCGTGCTCTCTCTCTCATTTATCAACTTTTTTCCGTTTTGCATTTTCAAAGACTTTTTTTACAATTTTTTAGAGCTCATCAAATCGAAAAACTAAGAAATTGCATTCATTGAACTTACAAATTAAATAATATAGTAATTAATTATTTGATATATTTTTTCAAAATATTTTTTCACTTCAAATTAATTAACATTTTTGCAACATCTGTGTATTTAATTATTTCAAAATTATTCTTAATATAAATAACTTAGGTCTGTCTTAGGACATAAGAAAAGAAAGCATTCAAAATTATTTCACACCTGCTTATCCCTTGAAAATTGCAAATTTTGACTTGTCTCTCTTTAGTTGTAAATGTGTGCGATAAATTCATGTATATATATATTTGTACATACATACATACATACTTATTTTATAAACGCTTTAATGAAAGACGAATTTCATATTTACAATGCACTTCAATTCCTAACTCAACAAATATGTGCATATGTATGTATGTACGCATGTATAAATAACTTTTTGGGAGTATATTTACATTGCACAAATGTGTGTGTGTGTGTGTTTGCATATGCCGTTCGACAAATACTACCGTTGAATATGCTACACATCTATACGTATGTATGTATGTACATCAGCAGCAGACAGCCGAATGGATCCGAAGTGCGCGCTCAGGTAACGAATATAACGCTACAATCGTCGTTTGCATCGTTCGTGCTTATTGTAACTGTATTTGAAGAGGCTGGATGTCTACATACTTACACACATACATACGTGCATATGTATTGCGTTCGGCTGTAAGAAATAAATGTATATATATGTGTGTGTGTGTGTAGGCACAGTGAACTGAACTCGCTGCGACACGCGACAAAAAGGAGCCGACAATGCATATTCACTTACACGCACACATTTGTAGCTAATTTGTAACTGTGCACATATGCATACACATCTGTGTATATGAATTCATTTATTTATGCCTTTGTACAGAGATAAGAACAAATGCATTTTTTACCCGCTGTTTAACAAAGCGTATAATAAAGGTGAGCAAAAGTAAGTGAAACAAGCGGAAGGAAACATCTCCGTCTGCAAGAGAATTGCTGGCATTTGATGCCCTTGCAGAAGAAGAAGAAGAACACTTGGCGATTGGTCGCATGAATGTATAATGTACATTGTACATACATACACACATTATACATACACTCAGCGCCACTTGAAGAGGACACCCCTTTAATCTATTTTCAATTGGTCCGCTGCTATTAGAAGTTACCAGAGGCTTAATTAGTGTTTATATTTTAAATACATTTAACTGGTTAAATTTGACCGCCGAGCTTTAAATATACACAAAACAAATTTAAAGTTAATTATGCCCAGCTTTTGTTTTGCGTCACTTGAAGAGGACATTTTTAAGAACAATAAATAAAATATGTGTGAAGACGATAACATGTGAATTGTCAAAATAAAATGTAAATATTATCTGCAAAATAAAATCTATTCATTTTTAGATATGAAAATCTTTGGCTTAAGATAGAGTAGAGTGAACATTTTGGTGGTTTTCTTTGTTAAAAGTCAAAATTGAACTTAAGAAAAGTGAAATTATGAAATCTTGAATTTTCGAAACAAAATTCTCTTCTGGAGGGATGATCAAGTAATTTTGGCTTCCCTCAGATCCATTCTTTAACCAAAGGAACTTTTGATGAACAATAACACACTTGATGACCAATAACACTGTTTGCGCCTTCAGCTTTTTGATAGCTTTATTTGAATTAATAGCACAATGTTAATTCCGAATCGTTTTAAAGTTTATTTACAACAGATATTGAGTCTAGAAGCCCATTCTTAGACTTTTATTCACAACAATTGTTCGATTATATGAAGGTTTGAAACCAATTACTAAACCTTCTCAAATAAAAAAGAGAAACTAAAACGATCGATAAGCAAGAATTATGCGAATCGAATGATTACCTGCAGCAGCCACGGATCATCAAACGCTCTTAATGAGAGATAGGGCGCTGTACAATGAGAGCATAATGTGGATATGCAAATACAACTAACAATAAGCTATATTATGACAAATGCAAGCAATAACCAATTCAAAGTTGTTTGCTGCTGCTGCCAACAAACATCATATGATTATCGGTTGCTGAATAAGTATTCTTGAATCCTAAGCGCCTTTCAATGGGGGTTTCTGACTTAGGATAATTTGTAAAGAAGTTAAGTGAGGCTATACAATTCTAAATTGTTTCCTTCAGCTTACCAGCTTACGCACTATCTTTATCATATCATAGAAATTGATAGCTCTGTTACGTCTTTATTATAATTAATATATTCAAATCGTACCTTTTGCAAAGAATATCAATTTAGGATTTTGCACCCTCTAATTGGAAGGACGCGATAAGATAGTGGGAATAAATGCTTTGAGCGAGGTGAAGTAAATTATTATTTATTTTGTTTGTTATTTTATCCTTAAAACTTTAGCGTAATCGGACTAAGAATATTTTTCTTTAAGTGCTACGCTAGCGCCAATGCTAGCGAAACCGGTAAGAATACTGTAGTCGACTACGATATACCCTGAACCTACCTGTTATATATATTCTACCTTTATTGTCTAGTTTCCCTTTTAAAAGTTTTGCACTCTCAAATAAAAGCATGCTTGGAAGTGCTCTGATTTCCTATAGATTGAAGAGTAAAAAAAACTAAGGCACAAGCCCGAACAGAACAATGTATGTGTCTATGTATGCACGCAATAACGGGGCTCTCCAGAATACACACAGACAAATTGACTCTCGCTTCGATTATAACGCCTTCCCTTTCTCACTCATTCGCTGACACATTTGTAAATACGGAAGATGTTTGCGGCAGCGGATGACATCAATGTAATTATACATTTTCTACTATAAGTTGGGTGTTTCTTATTTGATCTTTGTATAGTTAATCAGTAAGAATGTGCCCTTAAAATTGTGGCATTTACTGCTATCGGAAATCGATATATAGATTTGTATTCTTGAAATGGGGACAAAGCTTATTATCAAAATTTGAAGTCTGTATCTGTTATGGTCTCTGAGATCCGATTGTTTCACTTAACCCGGACGTCAATTTCCAAATTTGATTATATATTAATAAAATTTAATAAATTAATGGAAATGCGAGTTCCAAGAATAATGTTCTCACTTTGACGACTTTTCAGCAATTAGCCTTAGGAATGGTTTTAAAGGTTTTACCAAACTCCCAAATTATGCGAAAAAAAACTGGTTTTGACACTTTTCGGCGGCGTCAAATCAACTAATAACTGATTCTTGGGTGTGTGGGTGCGAGCAGGTACCAACTTGTCCTACTATGTCATAAAGGGTTATGAGTAAGAACAGAATCGTTGCTAGCGGATTCGGCAGATCATTGAATGTGTGAAGATATCAACACTCTATCCTTGTATTTTATCAAATCGTTGATATAGTTTTCTTGTGTCCTAAATTCAGTCGAGATAAGCTTGTTCTGCCACTGAGAATACTTCGAGTTTGGCTATACCCTCTAAAAGTTTCCAAGCCACAAAAAATATATCGCTGAAAATATATTCTAAGGACTGTTTGGCATTTACAAAGTTTTTGATTGCTTATTTTGGCAATCAATTAGAAAACGTTGTTAGTAGGGCAAGTTGAAATATGATTGTGCAATAATGCCAAGGTGGCACAGAAAAATGTTAATGACTAACGTTAATCTTATGGGGCCTACGCGAGGGTTTCGACAGCCCCGACGTGTCGTACATAAATATTAAATATGCATGGGCTTGCAGCCCACATCGCAAGAGAAACCAGTTCTGAGCACATTTGCTGTGCATAACTGCTAAACATACTTGATGGGTAAAATACAGAGGTATCATTGGGTGAGTGAGTGATCTTTTTATTCTCTGATACCAAAAGTATTTAGACAGACTGTTAACATTTGGGAGGTTACGTATACTAGGGCTAACAAGAAATGTAAAAAATCGACCTACAAATTAGAAAGTTTGGCTTTGTTTTTAAAAATAATTCATAAATATAAGAAAGCATTTTTCTTAAAATTAGATTGTCTTGACCTAAATCGACAATCCCAAAAATATGGTATTTGTTTTTTTTTTTCTATTTTTAAGAAGTGCAATTTTAAAAAGAAAAAAATTCTTTCTGAAATTCAAAAAAATAGTAATGAAATTTTCTATCTCGACTGCTATGCTAGAGTTTAGCTGATATTATTATTTACTTTCTGAATAATAAGGGCGATATGTTTTTTGAGTGGAGGAAATCGATCGAATCACTTAAATATCTCCGCAATTTCAGACCTAGAATCACAAAATTTAAGAGGTACGCTAATAATTATACAATTATTCACTGCCGCTTTTCGAAGTTGTACAAGTCTTAAGAGATATATTCTACGATCATTCCACACCATCTCTCTCTGATAAAATAGAGTCTCGCTTGTAAAGCATTTAGTGTTATATTAAGCGCAATGTTCAGTCTATTTATGAAACATTTGTATGTGAGTATGTATTGTTATTATACACTGAAATCTAGCAAATTAATATCATTTTCAAATAGTTCGAAGTTAAAGTCGATAAAACGTAGATATTTTCTTCAGTTTGAAAGTTATATTCACAAAAATGTAATGGCAGATTTCTAGTAACTGCTTTTCTTATTTTTGTATAATCAATAATACAAAATACGTGTTATAAATATCAGTATCTCCGCCTGACTTAAACAGAGATATTAACATTGTACATTGCCAGTAATCTCCTTCAAATAATTGCAAATCGATAACACATTCCTCGAATTATGAATCGATAAAACATAGGCTTGCAACGGTTTTAAAGCTACAGTTATTAAAATTTGATAAAACATAGCTTGTCTCTCTTATTTTTGTATTTATTTCTTTATATTTTGATGACTACAAAATACAAGTTATAATTATCATTAAATATTAGTTGGTGGTTTCCTCATCCGGATTGATTTACGTTGTACTCTTTATCTTCTTAAATTTTAGAGTTAAGGTTATAAAATTAGAAAGGAAGCTAGATTGTTTGTAACCTCCTACGAAGATTGACTAAAAGAATTCCCTGTCACGCCCTAACTCGACAAAATCGCATATCTCACACAGTTTTACAGCTAGAGTCTACAAGATTGAAAGGTATATACTCAGAAGTTCGAAAAATGAAAATCTTGTACTTATTTATTTTTTTATTTATTTTTTATTTTTTTGGTTGGCTTACGGCGTACGGTTCAGAGTAAGAAAAAAGCTGTTTCGATACAATTCAGGTTTGCAGCCATGATTGCTGCTGCTGACGTCATAGACACAAATACAGCAGCCATTTTAATATGCAGGTGCTTGCAACAGCTGCAGCTGCACAAATACATCTGTTTACATATATGGACATGTATATAAGTCAACTTAAACCATAACATCCACTCCTAATTTGACATATCCGATTTGAGTCTCTATTTGCTTAATAGGTTTCAGAGAATTTCAGTAGTGCATCGCAACAGCAAGTATCGCATAAAATACATCCATGAAATCCAAAAATACGAAAAGCATTTCGTAAAATTAATTGATGTAGTAATGAAGGAGACAGTAAAGACACAATAGTATGCGGGGCCGATCACACCGCAGCCGCTCTGAAAGGCAGTGTGCCTACACTCAGAAAAATTCGCACTTCATTTTCGAAGTTCGGCTTGTTTTTGTGGGTGAGGTTTCCTTACCCCATATTTCAGGAAGTAAGTTTCTTTATAAACCTATCTTAATTTTTTGCGAATCTTTTTTAAAGATTAGAAAAAATATGCCTATAAAACTAGATTTTTCGTTACTAATATTATTATACATTTTATATAGCTTAACTAAATTGAAGCAAGCTCACGATTTTTTGGGGATAGTAGCAGTTTAGAAATGCATTTTACAATAATTCAAAATACTTCTAAAAAAAATGATACATAAGCGATGTCGAAAGTTGAATCTGCAAACGAGGTCAACAGTAACGTACCAAGTAAGACCCATAACAAATATTCCAGGTGTATCAATGTTTTTTCTCTTCCGTTGACATTCTTAATCTTGATCTATTCTTTCTTGAAAAATGTGTCATCTAAGGGACATCAGCCAGCATTCTACATTCATCTCACGTCAAATCTAATTGTAAATAATAATGAGCCTTCTGATCCAAAAATATTGGTTGCCAGGCGGCAGAAATCTAATTAGAACCTTGGTATATTCTGACGAATCTTTATTTTTATTCGAAAGATAGTTCCAATCCAAAGACAGAGCATGTAAATTACAACGTGAAGTACAACAAAAGATCTGGATATTCCATAAGTACGGAGTAGCTATCATCCAGAAAGATAATCTTTCATTGAGTGAATGGCATGTAGACGTTCCTGAAGAATCCTATAGAATCCTATTTCCAGTAGTCTATTTAATTTAAAAGATATTTACCAATGTTTACTTATGATACCGCTTTAACTTTTGATATATGATTTTGAAATAGCCGGTTAGATCTGACAGATGATCCGCATCGGTGAATCCCTGGCAGAAGGGCATTCGGACTCTAATGTTTATAACCGACATCCTTCGGTTTATTAATGGATCCTATTCGGGCTCTTATAATCCACCCATTAAGCCAAGCATCTGCATATTACAGTGGGTGGGATGTCCATGCCCGAAGCTATACATCACTCTGGGGTTGACGTCGACACCAAATCACACCTTTTTTTTCGCTTAGGTTATTTCCAAGCTGCTCTGTGACAGACCTTTTTTTTCGGTCAACATGGAAATTAGATTTATATGGTAATTAAATTAACTTGATCTTTCTCCGGCATTTGATAGCTCTCATCTTACATTTTAAGTCTCTCGCTCTTGTGGTATCTGAGATGCTCGTTAACTTATATACAGACTGATGAGCAGCCACTGAGTCTGAAAAAAAAATATTTCCGATTGTGCGAAAATGGCACCCTTAGATAACAACTCAGAGCTTACCTCAACCATTTTTAACTAGCTTAGGGTTTTAAAGCGATATATAATGTTCTATAGATACCCATACAGCACTTTCTATACGTAACGGGTTAAATATAAGTTTCCTAATAGTACATTTTACAAACAACGAGAATACAGTTTTTCATGCCTATACTATTTGGGCTTACATAAAAAATATATATTCCAGCTTAAAATGGCAAACATATGCATGGATAAATACTTGAGAATATTGAGAATCTATTGATATTTATTGATCATAAAAAAATTACTTGACTTTCGTTCGTCGATTTTCTTTATCTGGTTCGGCTTGGGATTCGGTTTACAGAATAGAAAAAGACTTCGTCTCCAAACAGGTTTGGGTCATAATGGACCTGCCTGAAAACTCTCAAAAACTTTACAAGACATTAACTTATGCTGATGGGAGTAAATATACAATACATACGATGCATACAATTGCTTAATTTGGTTTAAGTCAAGCTAAACTTTATAAGTGAAATAAAGCATCCATTTAAATTTTAAATATCACCCACCTGAGCTTGCGTAAAAAGAACCCGTCGCTTTCGTCTTTGTGCCAGAGGAAACTGCAATGGTTTCGCATCACTTACACTACATGCAGCCAAGCCAGTCATATTGCCCATGTGACCCATCGATCCACCAGCTGATGAGCTCATAAGGCGCGATACTGAAAGTTTAAAAATTATATATATATATGTATGTATGTTTAATAAAATGGAATCAAAATAAAGTACATATATATCTTTTTGTTTTTTTTTAAACATTCGAATTTTTAAACGCTTGTGTTTGAATATTTATTACGTGTTCGAATTATCTTATGTGAAGACTTAGGCATAGGATATCTTCACCTAGAGCTCGCCCTTATTAAAAATATATACTCTTCATGAGTTTGAGGATACTTTATTGAATCATGACTAAGTTAGAGATATCACTGCAAGGAAATAAAGTAAAGTTGACATAAAGTGAGCCATTTCATATCTACACACTTCCCAAGCAGCGTTGTCCAAATAAGCAATATCATTTTTTTTTCAACATTTGTCGGTTTACAACCATCTGATCTCGATGTAAGTTAATATTATAAGATGTACATATTCATGGGTGCGGTGTCTCTGTTGGTCCGCCGGTAGTGAGCCTTTAAATTTATTTTCGACATTTGATAGATGATACCATTAATCAACGACCCAAGTTAAGTGACTTCAAAATTTAAGGATATATATTTATTATTTATAATTGTATACCTTTGCAGGGGGTACTTTAATTTTGTTTTCAATTTTTCAACTCATTAAAGTATCATCAGAATCATTAGCCAAGTCAATATAGGCATGTCCGCCTGTCCGAATATTTTTAACTTTATATGCGCTAAGCTCTGTCAGCTTAAATGCAATCTTGATGATACTTGGAATCCGTCTTTTTGCTAATGACAATAGATATATCGAAGTTGAATCGGACCACTATGTCATATAGATGCCTTAGCAACGACGTGTGAGTGGAGATAGGAGATGGAGATAGGTTTGCATGTTATCCTCTCTGAAACAATGAAATTGCTGGGCCTGTGCTGATATTCTTGTACTTATGTATATAACTACGCCTATACGCTATGTGTGTTTTTTCTAAAATATTTTGTGTGCAAGTGTGTACTGCACTTTTTTTTAACTGTGTATCTGAAGAGTTCAATTTGAAAAACATATGATTTTCAGACAAAAAAAAAACAATATTGGAAACAATTGAACTACAACGACTTTTATCTTTTTATTTTTTTTTAAATTAAATTTTAGTTTTGTGTAGCATACAAAATATTTATGTATGCCACCACGTCGCTATTGGAAACTCTTTTCTTAATGAATATTGGCAGTAAGCTCTAAATAATTGATAGTTGCAATATATATTTATTGGCAATATGTAAGGCGCATGACTATTTAGATTGATCAGTATATTAGCTAAACAAACATATACGGCGAAGCTGGCCGCATCTCATCACTATATCATAAATATCATAATGTAACAATCGCTCGAGAGATGATATCTTGTGCGAAAATCTTTTTTGTTTCACCTCACTATCAACTATTTTATTTGATATTTAACGACTTGGGTAAGTTTTTTGTATAATCTATATCATTATTAAAATATCAAAAAAAATACCCGAGTTTTTATTATTTCTATGATGCACCAAATCTCGTGTGCCTTGAAATAATTGCTTATCAATTTTATTCACGGAGCTGGTGATTTATTGGAAATTTATATACGAGATCAAGAATGTTCACACTTGGCTAGATTGACATAGCTTTCGTCCTGATTAGAATTATAATTTATTTACTGGTTCGAAGATTTTGTCGTCTGCCTTCCACGATCGGTAAGTCTGTCTGCCCGTCGGTCTGTGCAAAGTGAGACACCTCCCTTTCTAAGTCTTGATAAAAACCTTTAATGCAATCGTATTATGTAACTATCAGCGAGTACTGTACTTGTTTTCCAATAAATCAGAAAAAATAATAGACAACTATTGGCTTAACTAAGAGAAAAAATTGAGCAATATTAAAATTAATTTTATTATTCAATGGTATAAATACATTCATAGCCATAATGGTTCCATATGGTTTCTTTTAAGTCGGGCTAAAAAGTTTGCGCATAAAATTGTTCTATATTCATTTTTTCAATATTTTATCAATATAATATATATAAAATATATGTAAGAAAAAACTGAATAAAGGATGAACTAACACAATCTGCAATGGAAATAATGATACCTACGAGCATATCTAGTTCTTCTTTGAAAACGCTTCAAAACTTGTTGAAAATGCGACACAGTATTATCATTGAATAAATCTGTTGCGCGTTTAGCCACTGTCTGCTTGGGGTGATGCTGTTTAATGGGTGATGCCCCAGACTGCCATGCCATCAGCATTTCTCTAATTGTACTAGACTCTGGTTGTTCCTTTGTTACGGCCACGTCTGATAGTCTCCCCCACATCTACACTTTTTACCAGAAAACCAGTTAGAGCATGCATCTGAGGCACACCGAAGATTAAATACCCTTGCAGACCGAAGTCTGAGTCTTATTATACATTTAACATGTAGTCCGCAGTTAAAGTTAATTTTTTTTTTTTTTTCAATAATTACTTAATTTGATATTCTATTTGTGTTGTTATTTTGTATCTGCTGGTGTGTGACAACGCCTATTTGGATTCCACAACTTAGAGTAAATCTTTCCATCGATTGTACTTATGGCATGTATAGAAGTCCAATCCGTTTGTCTTAAACATATTTACTGCCTGTAGAAAGAAGACGCATATATTCCAGGTGGACAGACGGACACGGCTATTCAAAAAAATATGTACTTTGCGGTTTTGGCTTCCCGATAAAATTATAAAGTGTTTAAAAGAAAAAACAAAATCAATTATTATTATCAAAATATCCTGATATTAAGTTGATATATAAAAATATATTGCAACTTGCAACTTCTCTGCAAGGGCATTTGATCTTCGTCAGCTTGAAGATAATTGTTCTTTTATGTTAAATTTCATTTAGTGTACAACATCGGTAACGACGGTAACATTTCTACATACATATACCCATACATACATACATATATACATGCATATGAATATATACGAAGGTATGTAAATAAATTTGTATTAAGGAAATTTTTGTGGACACATTGAAGTATAAACAGAAAACTAAAGTTCACGCTAAGCACTTGAAACTGTTTGCTTTACTTTTAAGTAAAGATATTCGTAAATGATTTTTGCGCTGAGTCACGCAATCAATGTAGGCTCTCTTTCATGCTATATTTTTTCTAAATATGGAAAAGGTATGCGTGAGAATAATTGATTTTAAATTATTTCGTTGTCATTGTTTATTTTAGAAATGAAAAGATGATATTTATTTTTGAGCACTTATGACGTTTCTAAACTATATACAAATGTATGCACATATGTACACACACACCTGGACACTGTAAAATACGAAATAGTGAAGCGCAATAAAAGATGTAACATACACAGATGCTCCGCTCCAGTACTCCACAAAGAAATCACAAATTAATTCAAAATTTATGCAAATGTAAGTCACACGATAAGTAAATAATGCTTGACCTTATGAAGAGCTAGAGGACTATATATATATATATATATATACGTAAGAAATTTAACAATTTTTATATTTTGGTGGTCAACATAAAACATCAGTTGATTGACGATTAAGTTCAATGAAGTAATTTAAAAACTTCTTGAAATAAAAGTAAGAACTCAATTGTTGAATAATATAAGTTCGCTGTTGATAATATTTGCCAAAATCCAAGAAGCACAATATGACTTTGTTAATGGGTTACTTGCGTCGGTATGTCATAGAAAACAAAATAAAATATAGTTTTCTAACAGTTGATGCATTATATATAAATTTGAAATTAATATACTCGACTAAATTTATACTATTTGGCTGGTGCGTTCAAAAATGTGTCCTTTAACTAGCAAAATAATTTATTTTATTGTTATTACCATTATCCAACCTTACAATATTAATGATTTTTTGTGCTCGCTTATAATTTTCCCTTCAATAATAAAAGACGAAAATAATAATAGGATATTGAATCTAAACAAAGATCATCTCAAGCAGTATAGTTGTGTATAGCCAAAGTATTACCTCATCTTTTCTTTATATGATTTAGTCTGCAGTTTAGAACAAGAAATACCGTCTTAAAGCGAACAAATCAGAAGGGCTGTGACTCTATCTCGCTGTCTAACTTCTGACTATTCTAGTAGTGTATATTTTAAAGAGTAGCTTAAAAACTGTAGGCCTAAAAGAATGACTAACACTGTTAGAAAATACGCGTACTGTGATCAACTATAAATAAAGGAACAAGCAATCAAACAAACAAAATATTATACATCCAAATAAATAATTTAAAATTCAAATTTGATACCATACTTGGTTGTTATCATTCGAAGTTGGCTTTACTTAACCACACTGATTAACTTTTCAGTCCCTCTGCCATACATTTTCTTAGGCAAATATTAATTAAATTCATTCAATATAAATAAATATTTATTTTGTCACAGAATGTGTAATGCCTCGGAAAGAACATATCCGCTACCATCATCTTGATTATCTGTCGAAAACTGATTCTGGTACTAAAAACTTTTTCAATATATCTTCAAGAAACTGACCAATTTAAATATGCTTAAAAATCCGCACTTATAAATGTCAATGCGAATTGAATTAAATATTAAGCTGCGCATATTCATATTTGAAATACATCGTATATATTGTTTAATTTTTATTACGTACTTGCAAATCTGGGATCATTTGCAGTTGATCCATACCAGGAAGCTGATCCTCTCATATCTGTGTAGTGTCCCGCCAATGAGAGATTATCTGTAGGTCCGCAGTAGCTTTGTACTCCTGGACTATGATACAGAGATCCCATGGCATAGGGGTTCGCCATGGTTGATGTGGTTATTGTTCCAGGAGAATTAATACTACTACCACTTGAATTGGATCTGAAATGAGTAAAATCAATAAATTAATTTAGTATTTTCAAGAAAATTACAATTTGATACAATAACGCAACCAAAATATACATCCTAAGCAAACACTAAACTTTCAAATATAATTTTTCGTCCTAAGCACAAGAGTCAATATCAACAAGAATACTCCTGTCGAGAAAGCTTGGAGAGTAGATGTTGTTTACTCAGGGCTGGTGTTTTATAGCATTCGCATTAGTAAATATAAATACGCTAACCCTTTTCTATTAAAATAGAACTAAATGAATTGAATGATTTAAATTAAAAGTGAATGATTAGATTGAAATGTAAAATTAAAAATGCACAGAATAATACTATAATAATAGTAAAATTTGGGGATATTAAAATGTAAAAGGGTCCAACATTTTTTTCAACTATTCGGGAAAATCAATGAAAACATTACCAGTGAGCAAACGAATTTAGTCAGGTTCTTGAGAGCTAATTCGCAAGCTCAAAGTTTTCCTGGAAGCCTTTAAGATCAAAAAATTCAAAACAGGTGTTACTTCTCTTTTTTTTTAAATATGTTGTTACTTATACAACACAAAATGGGTGAAAAGGCTATGCACAAAAGTTTGTAAAGTTTGTAAGTTTGTAAAAGAGAGCAGGAAGCATATTTGACCTAATCGGCATTATAAGCCGAGTCAATTTATCCGAAACTTCAATCTCATTTGGAATGGAATTTCACGTTCCATAATCATATCAAGTTTATCTCATCTAGTCTCATACTTCTTTCTCGAATATCGATAACAACCGATTTCTGATTGTCCTAAAATTAACAATTTTTAATATATTGTTTTCCAACAAAATCAGCAAAGACTTTAAAGTAATATTTATAATAATCTAAAGTAGTTTCTTTACATTTTTTTTATATCTTTGATATGAAGCAAGCAGTATGATAATTCCTTAAGCGATGTCTGTATGTATACATAAGTATGTATGTATTTATGTATATACATATATATATACGCAAAGTGTTTTTAAAAAAAACACACATTTTCAGTCTTTATTAAAAAATAGTTGCATAATTATGTTACTTTTACTTAATAATATTGCTCTTATTATTAAGAATAAATGGTTTAACTTGAGTCTGCCACTTAGTTTTAAGTGGGCGCTCAAAAATGTTGTCTTTTCGGGTTTTTGGCACGTCAACTTTTTTCTTTAGTTTTGTTTATTGTTTGGTTTCTCAATAAAAGCATGAACTGCATATCATGTTCTTTTTAACTCTTCTGTATCAGCGTCAGCCATAATAAGTATAGTAACACTATTTGAACAAATACCTGTTTAAATTGCAGTGAGCAAAGCCTTTTATGAAGAAAGCTTGGTAATAAATATAGAGCCAGTTGTTAAATCGAACTATTATGTTTCACAACTCAGCTTAGGGTATCTCCTAGTCGAGTTTCCTTATCTAAGGCATTTTTACTTGTTTTAATATCGCTTTTATATTTTATTATTTTATTAAATTATTAAATCCATTATTTTATAAATTTGACTATACATTTTTAATTTTGTATAATTTTATTTGGGATCTCAATTTTTATTTAAAATTTCCTTTTTTTTTAAAACAATTTTTTTTAAATACAACAATAAACAACCTCTGTGTGAAGAAATTTGAATTGGTATTTAGACATTCTGATATTCTGATATTCTGACATGATAATTGATTATAATTGCTTAAAAAATATTTTAAGCTCTATCAGAAGCTCTAGAAGAACTTGATCAATGATTGGAATATATAGAACATTAAGTATACAAATATTTGTTAAGATAATTGACTTCAAATCTTAAACTTACCGAAACGGAGACGGCGGGTTGCCGTTTATTTCCAGTTTGCGGTATGACTCCTCGATTGGACTTAGAATATCGGTCACACTGAACGGTGTTGAGTGATTGTTGTTGAATAAAGTGTTTTGATGTTGGCTGTGCAGGTTTTGCAGATGCTGAATACTAGACAGACTATGGTGGTGATGTGCAACCGCGACAGCGGCTGCAGCGGTAACCGTGTTCTGTGTCGATATATCGTTTATATTATGTTTTGAGAGTGGATCCAATTGGTGCTGCTGAGAACCCGCTGTTGGTATAAGTAAGTCCTTTTGAGATAAACTCATAACCAAGTCCGCTTCATTACCCAAATTAGTCTCCTGTTCGTCTGGTAGTGCTCGAAAGCATCGCCGTTCATTAAGTGATGGATCAATTAAATTTGACGCTGACATACGAAAATCTTTAATCTAAGCGTTAACTCAAATTTAATGAACCTATAATTATAAAGAAATACATTTTTGTTAAATCATTTTGTGCTTAGAAACGAGACAGACTAACTTTCTTCGGTACGCCGAAGACTATACACACTTTATGTACAAATGATCATTATCAATTTTATATTTAACACCGACGAATATTTCCTATAGTAGAATATGGTAGTAGTAGAACACTGGTTTCTGGCGAGCTTTGCCAGAACATCTTTAATAAAAAAAGGTTTTTTATGCAAAAGCTCAAAGCTCGACTGATTGTTTGTAAGTCCGTTTTATTATAAAGTGGCCCTCAGCAAAATGACGCAAATAGCTAAAATTAATAAACATTGCTGAAGAAATAAAAAGTTGATAGACAGCCAGACACATAGTCGGAGAGACGGCTTTGGTCTCTATGTATATATTTTGTAAGGTCAGACATATCATTTTCAAAATATTAAATAATACTATCTATCAGAAATAAAATAAAATTCTACTCAAAGTGAGCATTAAAAACTCCTGGTAAGATAAAAAAAAACTCTTTTATATTTGAATACTGGCGGTAACTAAGTATATTGCATTTCTGCAGTCCGTCCTTCTGTATGAACACAGCTTTATTCGAAACTCTTGCAGCTTGAAACTTGGAATATATTTTCGTCTACATCCACTTTAGACAATGTATGCGGTGGTATAGGCATTAGACGGCTGAGAAATCAAGTCGTAAAAATTCTTAGTCTAGAGTTACCAAATGAATCTTAAATTTCTGGTGACGTTATCAAAAGATCAATATACTAAAAATCAAGAAAATCTGTAAAAAAAAATGTAATGGGGAAACGGGTATAATAAAGTGTACGAAACAGTCTCAGTTGAAAATCAAGAAGGTACACATAAACTTATGTACATATATTCATCATCATCTACAGCAAAGTCGATGCTGCGAATCTCAGAGTCAATCAACGCTAAAGACCTTAAATTTCCAACATAATTACTCGAATATATATCAAGATCGGAGATCAAAAGATCCGATGGTGGATTTCTATATCCATTTGACAGTGTTATTTTATAATAACATTATGAAGTCTTCATAAAAAATTGGTTTGCGACTTAGCCTACATACCAACAAAAGCAATCGAATTCGATAAATGTTTACAAAAAAAAGTCATCATCACATCTCACATTGTCCAAATAAAGACAACATTTAAGTTAATGGAGAAGAAAACAGCTCATTTCAATTAAAACTAATTTAGTATAAAATTGTTTACTATAAAAACTCGGTAGAATCAAGAAACATTTGTGCAAAATGGCTCCAATATCCGATCATCTCCAATACTTAAATTTCTTCTCCACACACTAACACCAATTGAATCACCAACATTTGTATTATATACTAGCTAAGTCAATTCCTTTCAATCGGAAATTAACTCGGCTTAATCCTATTATCATGGGCGATTTTTAATTTTAATAATAATGGTAATAATTTGAGCCTAAAATACCAAAAACTAAATTTTGCATTTTTGAAGTTTATCTCACAACTAGGTCAACAACTAGATCAAAATAAATTTACTAGAAAAATGACAAATGATGTAAAAACAGGTAAAATTTTACTGATATATTTCGGAAATTTTAATAAGAAGAAGCATCTGTGTACAACGGATATATCCAGCTGTTACGATCGAGAATCAAATGTTTCAAAGTATTTTCGGTGAATTATAACATTAATTGAAATAATTGAACATGTTTTGTGATAAGCATTTCGTTTACATGCGATTTTTTATATTATTAAAAATCGAGATAAGTTCGTCTACTTTAATAAATATAATATAATATAATATAGTAAATAATGTAGCGGAGTTTGCATAATTCAGCATTGATCGATGTTCATTTGATGACCCCAAAAACACGTCAAAGGTATGTAGGAATGTAGGAATGTCGAGAGATCAGGACTAGTATATATCCTGACAATTTTAGCGTTTGCTGCAGCATAATTTGGTAAATATAAATATACGATTTCAACCGATATTGCCGATCAAGAAAATGTCAAAGTATACATTTTTAAACATCTTTAAAAATTTATTATTGTTATCAGTAATCGATTTTTATCGATATTTCCAAAATTCCTGAAATTATCGATACATTTGAAGTCTCTAAATACTTTGGAGGTCGGAGATCATTTGTTCTGCTTGCTTCGTACTTTGCACAACTTTATTGTACCCTTTTTACCCATTTTGGGCTTAGGTTGCTGTTGAACTTGCTTATTTCTAAAGATTTCTTTTCAAACCTATAAATAGCTTATTGAAATCATATTTATTTCATTAACCATTACTATAGGTAAATAATGTGATTATATATTAACAAAATTAAATTAAATTTTAAAATAGCTTGAAATTCGGCACTGGATATTAGATACTACATTTTATATTTATGAGAAAACGTGAATTTCAATCTTTTCAATCTGCAGCGAGCGATACAGTTGCGTAATAAATACTCGTACTAAGTCATTGTGTTAATTTTAGAAATGGCAATAACAATTTTTAAATTATTGAATAAGACAAAAAAAATTTGAATTCTGAATTAAGCAGGCAATAGCTTCAGTTATAAGAAGCACGTATTAATGTAAAGCCTAGCAAAAAAAAAAAAAATGTATGTATTTTTAAAGTTATCAAGTTGTATAAAAGTCATTTAACGAAAGAGAAAAATTTTAAAATTATGACAATGTATATCAATTTGATAATCAGTTATAAATTATTTGTTTAATTTCTGCAATACTATATTATATAGTTTCCTTAGAAAAAACTGCGCGAAAGATGAAAAACTTTGGTGTTTCCCAACATCTCCAAGCCAAAGCCACAACTGATACTATGCATTTAACATTTATGGAAATTTGCCAAATATAGCTGTCCTTTTATTTTAATTCATATTTAGTCATGTATTAGCAATTCTGTAGAAAATGAAAACTTCGTATCAACTGCTTCTTCCCAACTTTTTCTCTACAATTGCACTTTTAAGTACAATCTTATAAATGTGGTTACGACATCCAAGATAGAGGTCGACTGTGAGATACCTTGAGCCCAAGGCTTTACCTATTATAAATCTAAAACGTAGAAGCCTTCAAATGCAATTCAGTTCACAATTTTCAAATTGAATCGACGTTGTGTAAAGAAAATGCTCTGATCCGACTGTCCATAAAGACGGACGGACAGGGCTATATCGACATACATTAGAACAGCTTAATTATTTTCTTTTTACTAATTTTTAATTAGATTAGTGGGTATGATTAGTTTTCAAGACAGAACCACTTCCAAAATAGCTCTAGAATCTTTCGATACCAGCGTTTGAGGCAGTCGCATCAAAAGTCGATGCTACTATTGTTATTGATTTGCTACACTTTACTAGAAATTTAATTTAATTTTGAAGCACCTTAAAAAATTTTACGTTCTCTGCTATCCATGTAAACTAATTACACTGAATAAATCCGAATAAGCTTCAAAAATATGTTTGACTACTTCTCTGCTAATTACAAATCAATATATCAACTATGTTTTTAAGCTAGGCAAAAATATACACACAAAATCGCTTTGTATATGCTAAAGATTCAGATTATGCGCAATGCAAAAAGCAAACAAAATTTGAAAATATGGGTTTTTCAAGTTGAATAATTCATTTGAGGGACAGCGGACGGAGGGCCAAAGTGTTATTCGCATAAAGTGCTCTAAGTGATCAGCGGTTAGACACTCAAGTAAATTAAAATATTGCCTTTTACTTTTACGCCTTCACCAATGATATTAAAATACTCATCGCAAGTATTTATGACGGCTGAAAGCAACGAATAATGACGAATTAAATATAATTTCAATGATGCATTCTGGCTATTGTAAACTTCGCATTATCCAGGCCAACCTCTAATCGTTGTGTAATCCATATATTTTTCTTAAGATAACATTTTTTTTTGAGGTATAAACAAAATTACTTTTTAAATCGCTTTTTATTACCATGGAATCTGGATCAGTTTCGGTTTCACTTTCAATGAAAGTTTGATTTGTATGAGAAGTTACAATTTGACAATAATTGTTTGTTTTTGGGTATTTCAGCATTTATCTCCGGCGATAGTTTTCTGAAAGCTTTTCACTATTCAAAAAATTGATGCAGCATTTAATTTATTTAACTCGCGTGTGTTTCATAACGGCATCATCAAAGGGAGCCTTGCACTATCCTCAAAGGCTAGTTGCACAAAACTCTTGGTGTAAAAGAATACCTCAAAATCCTGTCTGACGGCAATTTGACTCCCACACTGGATGGGCTACAAAAGTAATTTGTGGCTCTCTGACAAGTTGAAAAGTTACAATCCACGTTCTCGGCATTTTCACTAGAAATCTGTTCTATTTTAATATTTTATAACATTTATTTAGTGACTCAAAATATTCAAAACATCCGAAAACCAAGTTAGTGCTTATGTATAAACTAGGAATGTCCATGTCCATTTTTAACAGTATACTTCGATTAAAATACGTATTCATAAGTATTTGAACAAAAAAATTGTTTTGGATTCATAATAAGGTCTATTGGAATCTGAGCCGTTTCATAAATGTTGTTATTATAATGATAAAGTCTAAAAGCTCTAGAAAAAAGGTTGTTTATATAAACAAAAAGCTACAAAATGTGTTATTCCGATTTAACTAAATTTTTCCAATGGTAAGTTTGATAGAGATATCTTGTGTGTCCATACAACAAATTCGACCTAATCCACTAGTCTATTTAGAAATATTAGAGAAAAAAAAAGCAACTTGAAATTGTTGGACATGTTGCAGGCGGAGAAATGAACTCTTGATTTCTAGTTAAAAACAGCTGAAATCAGGTGGAAAAGATTATCTGCGGGGTAGCCAAGTGGCTTAAGCTACCGACGGAAATTGTACAATTCATAACAAACCAAAAATAAATAAAAAATAAATAAAAAGCTTAGCAACCGTAAAATAATGGAGCAAAGAACAAAACAATTAATGCTCAATTTAAAAAAAAAAAAACTAAGTTTAAAATCTATGGACAGCTAAATAGCACAATACAGAAAAAAATGTTGTATTTATATTCTCAAAAATGTTGTACCAACGAATCTACAACTTTGAATGTAAGTTTTTCATATTTTCTTAACCTTTTTCACCATTGCGCTCCGATGTTTGCACATTTTGTTAAAATCGGATCTATTATGATAACACTTTTTGGGAATTTTTTAATTTCACTGTTTTCTTATATATTTGGTGTTAAACTGTGCCTCAGAATGCACGGTCGAGAACATTATTTACAAACAGACATATTTTTTCAAAATTTGGCGTATCTAAATTTTAATTATTTGCATTTTTAAATTTTGTTATAATTTTTCTAATTCTAAATTAAATTTAAATTTTCTGTTTTAGCTAAATTAATAAAATAATAAATTAATAAAAATACTGTTGATCTGTGTATTATATATATAGATACATATATATATATATATATATATTAAATGTAAATCAGGTATAAAAACGTAAACTTTAAAAAAGGAAAAACGAATGATATCCAAAACGACCCAAATGTTAAGAATTGCGGCCAATCATTTTCAAATCGTGCCAACCATGATTTAAGCCCCAGACCTGCGGGCTGGCTTGTAGCCCACTTGAGCTACGCTCTCTGGAAAAACTTCAAGTTGAGCAAACAGCACATGAATACAACACAAAAGCAATACAATTCACAATATTCAAATTGAGCACGCATTATGTATATGTGCGTGTGCGTGTGTGTGTGTGTGTGTGAGTGTGCGTGTTTGTGTGTGCATGTGTGTGTGTGTGTGTGTGCGAATGTGAGTGCACCCTCAAAATGCTTGCCTGCTGCTGTCTGATTTGGATAGCATTTCCACAGAAAGGTCAACCGGGACCAATATTTTAAATATAAACAATCGGATTTCGCTAACTTATACTAAAATAGTATAAATTTTAAAAACAAATTGGATTTTGTTAAATAGATTTATAAAATGTCTACATTTTCGTAACAAATCTCAGTTGTTATTTTGAGAAACTTGGCATGAAAGTTGCAAATGTGATATTTTTACTCCTGGACCTTTTAAATACGTTTTGTCTTTACTATATTTGCATATTTTTAATTATAATGAAATTCTTCCATCAACAAGAATTAAATAGGAAAAAATTTGAAACAAAATGTATTTTATTATTATTATTTAATTATTATTATTTTGATTTTCAACTGTTCAAATGTAACGGTTAAATCGTGTATGTTGTGCCGGTATACAAAGTTTCATATAAACCGTCCGTCGGTTTTTTAAATCTAACGTGAAGTTTTATGTTGGCATGTTGCCTCAAAGCTGCAAGGACATGGCATCTTGGGTGTGCCTGAGAAAGCAGATCATTTTTATTTTCTACTAAATATATTACTAATTTAAAGCTCTTAAGTAATAAATACGACGTTTTCAGTATATATGTAAATAAAACTACGTGATGGAAAAATATGCCGAGTGCTAAATGTTGTGAAAACCCAATACAAATATTTACAAGTGACATTTATCAATGAAAATCTTAATTTTTAATTTCAATTTAAAATGAATCGTGTATTAATATTATATGGCAACTCGCTTATTTTTATATTTTATTTTATTTGATTGCTTATTTATTGCCAACGCCAAATCCGAGAGCTCGTCTTTTGCACTAAACAAATTGCTACTAAAATCAATAAAAAAAAGTAGGACAGACAAAATTTGCTGTTTTTTTTTTCCTATAGTTGCATAACAACTTCTGGAATTCCTGATTTAAATAAATGTATATTGTTTATTATTTCCGTGAAAAAATCGATTGTAATTTTAACTCAACCTATGGTTTGGTAATCTACATCTAATCTAATCACAAAAATATTAACTAAGCAAAAAAATCAAAGTAAAATACATATAACTGATGCGGTTTATTTATTTGTATTTGAACAAATATGGAAAACATTTTCGATCTTACAATTATACAAGAAATTGGGCTGATCTGGCAGCCCTATGCTCAAAAGGGATTAAAGTAGATATAATTAATTCGCAGAACACTATTCCCATTATAATAATAATAATATTATTATTATTAATAATAAAGACATAAAAATAAGAATAACAATATTTTATTCAATAATAATAATTAAATCTTGGTAATTTTTGTCTTTGGTTCAGAGTATCTCCTAGTCGAGTATCTCCTTTGCCAACAACCTTGTTATTGGCTTATAATTTTTAGAGTACTTTTTGATCATTTATTCACCTGTACAATTTTCGACTATTGGCTATTGACTGTTCCGCCGGACTAATGAATAATGTTAGGTAGATTCCAGTGCTACGAGGACCGACCAATCTTTGATTTATTTGCCCGGCATAAGAAGGCTAAGCCGTTACGTCGAATAAATTTTCCGGGAGGATCAGCTACAAAGCCTTGCACATATTCCCATTATTAAAAATTAAGCTAGCCAAAGGCAGACAAAGAAGCCAAAACAAACACACTCCCAACGCATACCTCAATGAGAACCAGACTGCAATTGTGGCTACGAACTGTTATTACAGTTATTTAGTTCAACGTCGCTCGATCGGCTGGGCCATAAAAAAGCAAATCAAAGACACAACACACAACGCAACAACAACAGCAACAGCAGCAGAAGAGTGCATGGTTCAACTTCGGTGCAGTGCAGCATAGGAAAAGGCAGGCAACGAAAAGAGACAGAAGCATTCGCAAAACAACAGCGCACATTTTATTTTGTTCATTGCCTTCGTTTTGCTCGTGTCAACTCCTGGCAAATGACATACAACGAAAAGAGACAGCGACACTTTTGCACTCTGCTTAGGAACAGAAGCGAGGCAAGAACATCTTGCTTCTGCCGAGCCCCGACTGCTGCAGTGACTGCAACATTTGTCATCTTGGTTAGCGATCAAACTGTTACGCATTGCACAAGTCCGCATTTTGCTGCGTAACCGTCATAGAATGTGTCGCCAAAGTTTAATTCAATGTTGGCGAAAATATTTTCATATTCAACTCAAATTTATTGGACAATTGTGGATAAATCATTTTTTTTTTCGATTGGCTAAAAGTTGATATACAAACAAGATTTTTCTTCGCATACGCTTAAGTGTGGATTAGCACCAAAATGTGATTATTTCGACATCAATTTCCACAGTTTAATCTCGAAATTATTTTATTTATGTATATTAACTTTAATACATTTAAGCACAAATAATATTATAATTGATAATATACAATTAAGAGTACAAGCGACTGCATTCAGTGGTCAAATGGGGGCAAAGTTGCACCAAAAACAACAAATTGGCAGCTTACGTGAAAACTGAAGTTACGATTCGCAAAGAACATTGGGCTTTGTATTTGCCTCTTTCGAACATGAACTATTTGGAGTAAAAGCCACAAGTCGAATCTGCATAATTATATACTTAGTACCCAAATGAAACTGTATTGCACAAGAAAGAAATAACTCCCCAAAACCAAAAAAAAAAAAGAATAATAATAATACTAAATAGATGAAGGGGGTTATTAACTATGCTACTAGGGATACTCAACCCTTACAATCATGTCTAGGTCTTGAGCAACTTATCTTAAAGTCCCGAATTAAATTGGCAACAATTATGGTAAGATTCTTTAAAGTGAACTTATGTCACTCAATTATTTCTTTGACAGTTTATTTTGATCATTTTACAGTTAATTGAAGGACTTTTCCAAAATAAAATATGAATTTGAGTCGTTATCAAAAACAAATTGAATTAAATCGCACTGTTTTCTGTCAAATTAGGGTTTTTTCAGTACAATAGTGCACAACTGTCATCTCTAGTTAAGAAATTAGATATCAGAATGGATACCACATTTCATATATTCGATTAACTTGCAATGGCGCCCATCGCTTTCATATTGTTTTTTAAGTTTTTAAGTTTTTGCAACTTTATTGGGGTTGTTAAATCTATGCTTGATTTTGGGTTGTATTTGAGCATGAAAATTCTACCGGAAACTCCACGAAATCGGATACCTTTGGAGAGATCTGCATTATGTTATACTTCAGATTTGTGGGGTGCTCTATTTCTCATAAATATTCTGTTGATATTCCAATTTGGTTATCGATTCGATGACCATAAATTATAATGAATTTTGTAAATATAATACACAAAACAAAAATGAATAAATTTATACCCAGCAGTGTTTGACTCCTAAAGTTGTCCGAATGCATTTAACAGGTAGAATACAGCATAGTACAGGGTATCTCCAAGTCGAGCGTAATGCGTTGCTTACATCATATTTCATACTATTTAATTACACGTATGCAATGGTTTTTAGCCAAATGTGTGTAAATGTAATTGATCACTTCTTGGACTTTAGATTGAATGAACATTGCAAGCGTAAATAATACAAACTAATAAAACTTTACGTTATCCATTGTCAAATGAAATTTGGTAATGTTTTCGTAATAATTCTTACTTGACTCATTTTTGGTGCACTTTTTAAACAATTGGTTTCTTTTAAGAATCGTTTGTTTGTCACTTGATTATAATTTGCAATGATTAAACTAATGTGAAGCTTTTTGGCATTAAGTTATCTTAGCACCAGCATTGGCTAAGCTGTAAGCAATATTTTAGGGCCATTATTTTATTTTGATAAAGCACTAGAATATGTAACACACAATTTTTGTTTTCTGCTGCACAATATATGTATAGTATGTAAATTTAAAGACATATAAGCCCACGTCAGTGAATTTATTATGAATATCCACTCGACACGATTCCGTCAAATGAAATAAGAGGTCTGAACAGTACTGACGAGTACTCCTCAGATGGCTTCTGGATAGCCCTCGAATAAGTTTTTCCTATTAACGATAACTGTGTACTGTTGGTACTGGCTACACACTTCGTTGAACAAAACAAACATCAAAATATTGCCTATTCATTTCAACGATACCAACCAATAAGAGATCGGCGAAAACAACGCTGGGCTGGAATTCCATTCACGGCTAACTGGCTTTTGGACCGTTCAAAATAATGCCAGCCCACTTTTTGTGCATACTTGTCTCAGTCACACTTTAGAACGCAAGGGGCAGACCAATGCGCACGAAAAGGAAAGATATAGCTATTACAATATTCTTTGCTGCGTCACTCTTCGGCGTGTGTTGACCAATGGAAAGTGAGTGTGTGTTTCAACCCCCATTCTGCTTGAGGTCGCATATCTGGAATTAGTTAAGGAATGTTAAATGCATTCTTAAATTGGTAAATTTCCCCTCACGGTCGAACAATAGAATTGCTTGCTAAGCTTGTATTTTCACACAACGCAACAATGCGTCCACGCACTCTTCACTCTTCAAAAGTACCAACTCGAAATCGTGTAGAAATTTTTGATGGGTCTGGGTTGACAGTATTTTTGTAATGTCATTGATAAAAAAAAGAAGTGAAGTATCTTAAATAAAATATACACTTAACACTCTGTCATATACATAAATATATATATTAAATATATAAATTTAGCTGCACCATTTGTATATTTCGAATATGCTGTTTAATACAGCATATCAGAATTATAAAATAAATTTCACCTATGGCAATTAAGCGATATGTTTTGTTATCTGACAGGTTCTAAGCCCCATCTTGCCAAAAAGTAACAAGCAGCTTGAAACACAAATCAATGAAATTTGATTGCATTTAGTATTAGATGTTCAATTTATAGAAACTCTAGTACAAATTCAATACGAATATATTTTGTAGTCCGTGAGTGTGGCTAAGATATTTATAAAATACAAATGCTTTGCCCACAAAACCGTTAAACGAAAATCAGAAATAATTAATTTTGCTGTTTCTTTTCAGATGTCTTTTAATGTCTTTCCTTAACATACATACTATAAGTAAACTAAACAATTTAAAATTATATATAAAATACGGTAATAAGGTTAATAACAGTTAAACGTAAAGCTCGTTCATTTATAGGATGGAGAGATGTATAATACAATCATTTACGTCATTATTATCGTTCAAACTACAATTTGATTTACATTTTTCTCAGAAAATATATCTTACACATTTTGATCTCATTGGGGTAAATCAGTGATTACGAATTTTAATACATTTATATTTAAAAATTTTAAATACTGAGATTGAAATTTTCGGCAACATTCCCTCTTATCCAACTATTGGCTTAATTACAGGGATTAAAAACAAATAATTGAAACCGCAATCCATTTTTAGAAATGAATTATCGATGTAGTAAAAGGAAACACAAAAGGTTGTTGTGAATAAAAATTTAAAATTAAATTGCAAGTAAATATCGAAGTAAATGATATAAAATGCATATTTGATTATATGAAAAAAAGAAAGAGATTAAATTAAAAATATATATTTAAAAAAAATATATTAAAGCATATGATAGATAAATCTGGGAATATTATTAAAATGTAAATGGTCTAATAATTAGTGCAAGGATTGGGAAAACTCTAAATAATCCAAATCAGACCAATAATAACTGTAAGTAGATAAATACTGTAATAAAAAAGAAAGAACGTTAAGAAAAGGAAAAGAGATAAAAGAATAAAACATAAGTAAAGAAAATATACGAAAATCTCTGAACCTGTGGAGTAATGTAATTGTACCACAGTTTATCACGCTCATAGGTTTCCCGGAGATATATTAGTAATGAAAATGTAATTAAATATATATATATATATATATATATAAATAATATATATATATATATATATATATATATATATATTTATATATATATATATATTGTTATATATTGATATCACTGTTTTCAATCTAGGCAAAAGTTCATTATGTATCGATCTAGAGATTGCTGATTGCGTATTATTTTTGCTCATATGACGTTGAGGAGACTTTGTAGGGTAGAAATTAGGTTTATTTAAGAGATCTATGTGAAATTTCATTGGAAACGTGTTTCCCTTTTGGTCGTTGAATCCACCCCACAGAGTGCACAATATGGGGTCAATCTTGAATATGAGAATAATAAATGCTCGTCCAATTGGCTGTAATCACATTTTTAAAGCTCTTTGTAAACAATTATTAAATACACTCACAAAGCTCATTTCCAAAGGCAAGATTGAATTTCTTCTGCTAGTCGACATACTTTGATAATGAAAAATGGCCTTCACTAAATAAATAAAAAATGAAATAAAATTATGCTGACCGGATCCCACATGGTTGATAATTTTTGTAATATTTTGACAGAAATCTTTAAGCATAGGACTACCATTTCTGTTTTATTTCTAAAGATGCAAACTTGCTTTGAAGTTTTCAAACTATTTTTGTGATACGTTTGAAAATCCTCTTTGTTTACCAAGATTTCCGGACTAAATTTACCAGCAACGGGTGTTATTATGCTCCTAAAATATTCCACAATAAAAAACAAATAATGTCAAAAAACGGGATAAAATTATCTACGATAAAAAATAGATGTTCACATATAATAAATATTTGCATAATTTAAATAATATTAATTCTCTCAGTTAATATAAAAAATTTCTATCTATATATTATTTTAATATTAGAGATTAGAGAGAGAGAGAGAGGCTACTATAGATAGATGCTTTTCATTTGGAATAATCATAATTATAATCAAAATTAATAATTTAAATTCTATGTACACAGTTACAAAAGAACACCCTGAAAATTAGGCATATTTGTTACCAAATTTTAGAAGTTACCATGGAATTAAGAAAAGGTAAGCGCTGCTTTTAAGAAAGACACACTTTGCCGTTTTAAAAATATACTTTTTGAAAAGTATAGCTGTTTTATAAAATCCAGGCGAGTTTTTCTGAGTGGTCCTTGCGCAGATCATGCTTATGTCACTTTGTCAAAAACTTTCTTCATTTCTGAGGTAAACGTGGAAATCAGAAAAGTCGCAATTATCTAATATAGATCGGTGCCTTTTTAACTTTCTTTTGGCATAACAAAAATTTGATACATCTGGCTCCTAATTGTAACCCTTTGACTCACGCAAAGATAAACATATATTTCAAGATTAAAGTGTAAAGGTTTATGATTGTCCTTCGGTATTCAACCTTCGATATTCAATGGCATAAAGCGTCTCGTTCATCTCGTTTGTATCCTTTAAGATATACGCAAATAATAAAGTGTACAAAATATCGGCTATTTGTAGTTAAATGTATCTTGCTTGAATGCGAATTGCTTTTAAGATAGAATAACATCTGTTGAAATCATGGGCATCTTGTGTTAACAGCAAAACCCTTGGTGAGCATGGTCTGGAAATGTATATGTCGATCTTTGAAGGAGGATACAGCAAGCTATATGGTTTTATCTCTAAATTGTGAAGCATATGCGGTTTATTTATTTACACCTTCACAAATATTGATTTTTTCGAATATGGGGGAATGTGTTTTTATCAATATTTAAGGGCGGTTTAAAATATACCTTCTAAGTGTGATAGCTCTAACTAAAAAGCTGCGGAAGATATTTCCATTTCCGATTTTTATGAGCGGGGGACTGGGAGTAGCAGAGGTGGGCGTGGCATATGCCGATCTTTGAAGGTTGCCGCCAACAACATACCAACCAAATTTGATGACTGTATCTTTAAAATTGTGAGAGGTTTGTGGAATATCGATTTGCTATTATTGTTTTGTTGATTTCCTAGCCTCCTCGTAGATATGGCACTATAATTTTTGGCACACCGTGTAACCCGGGCACAGGCAAGTATATGTTCCAAGTTTCAATCTAGCTTTAAGGGTATCGGAGAAAGTTGCGCGTATACAGACGGGCAGACAGCATGACAGACATTGCACAAAAACTAATATACGCTTATACCTTTGGTATCATAGTATAAAAAAGGGAAGTTAGTCAAGCTGAGCTGATCCAATGGAACACATACCAAATATGGTATATATGGTCAACTGTTGCAGATTGACGATGCAGTTGACACCGACAAATGCAAGTTGACATTGGTAGTCTGATTTTGCTTTGCGTTGTCGAACATGCCTAGCATCAAACTTGATGTCAATAATAATGATTAATTAAATATTTTGTATAATTTATTTACAAGACAAATTTTTGACCTTTTAGATGTATGCAATATATTTGTCAACTAATTTAATTTAATGACAATTTCATTGTCAACGCCTTGCCAACTTTTTTGTTGCTCAACTTCAAAATTAGTTGATAAACAAGATTTTCGGTCAGATAAGACAAAATATAGTGCTTCACATTTAGTAGTCAGTCAATATAAATCTTGCAATATATCGAACCAATTTGTACATTGGAAAATGGCTTATCTATGGAGTAGTTTTTTCAATATGAGAATACGATTTGGTTAATATACGAAAATGTATATTCACAATTTGAAAACAATGAGGGTGTATTCACACAGACGGATAGACGGACACGTCTAAATCATTTCAGCTGTTAATGCTGATCAAGAATATATATAATTTATGGTATCGCAACTACTTTCTTCGACTTCCTATTATTCATTATAATCTCAGTAAAAAACAGTCCTTAAATTTAGAAAAGTGTCCTATCAATGAGGAATTTTTCTTGTTTTTAGAAATAATTTCTAAATATAAGAAAACATTTTTCTTAAAATTATAAAGTTTTGGCCTAAATCGACAATCCCGAATATATATATTTTTTTCAATTTTGTTTTTAAATATTTTCTATTAATAAGAAATGCATTTCCAAAAATTAAAAAAAAAATCGTTTTGGTAATGTAGAAAATAGTAATGAAATTTGCTCTTTTGACTTCTATACTATAGTTTAGCTGCTGTATATTTTTGAGTTCGCATAGTTCAGTGGAAGTCATTG